CTACGGGCTTAAACCGCCCAAATTAAACATAAATTAATTTTAAACTAAAGACTGCATTGTTTAGTAAAACTAGACAAAAACTAAACATAGAAAACATATTTGCACTAAACCATATAAAACAAATTAAATATAAAACGAATAATTCCAATAAACCATGTAAATTAAATTTAAATATATATGCGCTGTATACAGTGGCGGAACTTCAAAATTTGGGCCCCCCCCGCAAAAGAATGTTTTTTTTGCGGAAAAGAGTTTTATAGTATAAATATTATTGAGAGTATAACTTTTTTTATATGAGGGCCCCCTATAGCTGGTAGGCCCCCCCCCCTGCAACGCAGGGTCCTGCGTCCAGTAGTTCCGCCACTGGCTATATATAAAACGAACTTCTACTCCACACCGTAAACACCTAATTTAAGTATAAACAAAACTTAAAACAAACAATCTCAACAAACTGTTTAAATTAAAATAACTGAAAAGCGTCACTAAACCGTACAACCTAAAAAAATTAAAATAAAATATTTGCAGTAAAACGTACTGGTTTAAACTAAATATAAATTAGAAACTAAGAGAATAATTATACTAAAGCGTATAAATTAATTTAAAATATTAACTGAATAAAAAACGAGTGACTTGATAAAATACATAAACTGAACTAAGTAGAAAATAAATATTAAACGAATTATTTTACTAATAAATGTAAAAATCATATTAAAACAGATATTTGCACTAAAATATACAAAAGTTAGATATAACATAAATATGAAAACGAAGAATCGCAACTCTTTCGCTACCACAAGAACTCTTTCGCTACCACAGGCCGAACAAAAATCTTTTCGTAGCAACCGCGCATTTTTTGAATAAAATTTCAACGGCTTAACTTGGACAATAAATTAACATTCGAATAGTAAATCTCTTTAAAAGCATAATAAACTATACATCAATAGAAAGGTAAACAAATGAACTTTTTAATTAAATAAGTTTTTAACACGTATCATTGAACAATAAGAAATGCAAATGCTTAAAACCATTGTTTTTATAAATAGTAACTAAACATTAAGTCCAAAACAAAACTTATTTAATGAATAAAAATAATATTTTTTGTTCAAAAGACTTTGGTAAAACTTAACTTAATACTTATACACTTCTACACGTTAAATTTTAGTTTTAACTCTGTTTTATTTTATATCTAAATTTAAAGAAGTTTTTTTTATGAAGGATTACTCAAGATTTTTTAACTTTGTCAAGTGATAACTTTTTATAATTACGCAATATACCTCTTATAACAAATTATGTCTAGAATGAAAACTTATATACAAAATAAATAAATTGTGAAACATACTCGAAAGCCGCTACCAGTGGGTTGCAGTAGTGAAAGAGTTAAAGAAACCATATAAACTAAATGTAAATTAAACATAAAACGAACAACTCTCTCAAACCATGTTAACTAAATGTAAAACGAGAAACTGCTTTTATTTTCCCTCTGGGGAACAACAACAACAACAAGCTATTTATAATCATTATTACAATAGTAATAATGATTATAAATGCACCTGTAGATTTGCAATGTCTACAAATTGATTTCTTAATAAATGCAAAGCTTCTGCTGTATTAGAGATTTCAGTGCTTTTAGCAGCCTACAGCTCAATCATTCTTGCTTTCTTGTTTTAAGATAAAAACGAACATGACAATCTAAACTCTTACAGTTCTTTAACAATAACTTGTGTTAAAATAAAAACACAGTTTTAACACTATTCCTAACACAATATAAAAAAAAACAACAGCAGGCACTGCATTATCTAAAGTCATTATCGGGAAAATTACAGTAGCAATAATTTAATTATGAAACCTATCTAGACCTTATAAGTTTTCAACATGTCTATCTTCACACAAGTTCTCATTATAAGTACTTCTCAGAGTTTATTTGTCGCAGCTGAACCCTGGTGTCCCATAACATCATCAATAAAATGAAAATCTCCACCCAAGAACAACCTATTCTTTTTTGACTTTTAGTTTAAAGTCTGACAACTGAATTCTTTTGATGTTATTGGAGTAATGCCCATGAATTAAGACAATATTATTTCGACAGTCTAAACCCTGGTTCATAAAAAATAAATGCACATCATATACAGATTTTGATAATTCAGAATTGACAACTTCAAAACAGAAAATTTTTATTAAACTCCTTATTTCATCCAATGTAATGTTTTAAAATTCCCACTCAGTTGAATACATAGTTATTGAAATAAAATTGACTTTGTAATAAATATAATACAAACAATTAAAATAATATTAATTAACAAATATATGCGATAAAAGTGGATTTAACTGTAAAAGATTACTACATCTGTCCAACAACATCTGTGAAGTAGTCCAAGATCATCTGTATTTTTCTTTTACTGTAATAACATATGTCCAATATCATCTGAAAATTCAACGACTTCTAACAACATCTTTAGAAAGATGTATCTAGTAATTTTTTAGTCCAATAACATCTGGAAAAATTTTCTCCAGATGTAGTTACATATGAAAAAGTTTCTATATGTAACTACATAGGGTTAAAATAATGCACTTTGCAATTAACAAAGGTTAAAATAATGCACTTTGCAATTAACTAAGAAGTTAATAATTTTTTGTTAATAATATCTGAAAAAAATCCTATGTGTAACTACATCTATGTGTAACTACATCTATGTGTAACTACATCTATAAGTAACTACATCTATGTGTAACTACATCTATGTGTAACTACATCTATGTGTAACTACATCTATGTGTAACTACATCTATGTGTAACTACATCTATGTGTAACTACATCTATGTGTAACTACATCTATGTGTAACTACATCTATGTGTAACTACATCTATGTGTAACTACTATGTGCATCATTAGTTAATTCATCTTAATAACTTCATCTTAAAATCTACAGATATAGTTGCACAGATGTAGTTGTACAAATGTTATTACACTTTGATAATTTAAAAGATGTAACTACATCTGTAATATTCATTTAACTTTGGCACAGATGTTATAAGATACCATTAAAATTTCAGATGTTGTTGGACAGATGTTATTATACCTCATACTTACAGATGTTGTTGGATAGATGTTATTAGACATGGCAAAAACTGATGTTGTTACCCTGACCCGATTTAACAACTTAACCGCTTCACTTTGTTTATTTTATACTTCAAAAATATCGCAGAAACAGTTTCGATAAAATTCGTTAGTAAATAGTAACGCATTAAAAGTTACGTCATTGCTATAAAACGTCAGCATATATGTACCACTGATCTCTGTAATAACTGGATAGCGCATCTCTATTATCAAAAGTGAAGCCAATTTTTTTTACGGCCGCCATATTGGAAAGCCCCAGAATACCGAAAATACAGTGATTGCGCTTGAAGATGTACCTTTTTACTTCGTTTATATCTACTCGACCAAGTCACATAATTCAATGATATTATTATATTTAAAATATTTGAAGGTGTAAAAATTATAAAAGGGAATCAAAAACACGCAAAACATTACCGACGAAAAGAAATATCGCTATAAAGAAATAATAAAATTTGTATTGCTTTCTATGAACTAGTTAAATTTATTGAATTTACGATATTCTAAATAAAAATTTTCTGAAAGACAAATTGATATTTAATCTGGTTACTTTTGGGTGTTTTTTTTAACAACTTGATGCGACCTTACTTAGCAATAGTAGCTGGAAAGTAACTTTACAAATATAAAACATGATAAAAACATTGTATCAAACATTTTTGTAAATGGTTTTCTGATTTTTGAGACTCCGAGGACATGTTTATGTTTTTCCACTATTGATATATCATCAACTATGCAATACTTTATTAAAATTGATATCACTTAATAAAATGTTTTGTTCTGTTGCTTTGCTAACTTTAATTACACTTTGTGAAGGTTTGACAAAGCCAAAGCCAAAGCCCTCTAACTTTAAAAAACACTAGATATTTGGTGATAACTAGTTATTTGCAGTTTTACATTAAAGTGTTTAGTGTTTTAGACTAACAGTATCGCATACATGTTGATTGTGTATATGTAAATATGGTATAAATGAAAACAGACATGGTTTCTTTCAAGTTTTTTTAAAACTATCGACTCTAAAGTAAAATAATAATGATTCAGCTAACATCTATCAGTTTTACACTGATAGATATTAGTTGTATAATTAATAAATATTAAAAATATTTCTTGTGAAAACAAATAAGCAACATAAAAGACCAAAATGAAAGGTGAACAATTTTTTTTCTAAGTGTACATACTTTTTTACTTTTCCCTACCACATAATACCTTTTTATTCAATGTTTGTTTTGTTATTCAATGCTTATACAAGTTATTCAATGATTATTTAAAAAGGAAAGTTAGATCTTATATTTTTTTTATTTGAAGATGAAAACTTTTATAGAAAAAAACTATAATTTAAAGTTAGTGAATTTTTATACTTTTTATGCGGAAATTTTTTTTTTCATAAATTCGTAACATCACGCTCGCTTTTACATTAAGTAAAACGCCGTGATATATATATATATATATATATATATATATATATATATATATATATATATATATATATATATATATATATATATATATATATATAGAGAGAGAGAGAGAGAGAGAGAGAGAGAGAAAGAGAGAAAGAGAGAAAGAGAGAAAGAGAGAGAGTAAAACAGCCGTGATATATATATATATATATATATATATATATATATATATATATATATATATATATATATATATATATATATATATATATATATATATATATATATATATATATATATATATATATATATATATATATATATATATATATATATATATATATATATATATATATATATATATATATATATATATATATGTATATATATATATATATATATATAAATAGTGGGAGAGAGATTTACTTATATATGTCTGACTATTCCATGACTATTTTAGTATACATTTTTTTTTTTTTTCTTCTTTAGATTTCCTGGCAATTATAATGCATTTAGCGAGGATAACAGTTTCATCGATGAAACTCCACGTTTTAAGCTGGAACATCAAGAAAGTTTTACTAAAGGTGACTTGATTATTTTTTTTCTATTATGTTGTTGTTTACTTCTAATTTCTTTTAAAAAGCTTTAAAATAATTATAAAATGTTTATAAAAAAAATCTGAAGACAAGTGTTAGAGTAAAGTCTTTTAAAATAGTTAATCGCCTATTTTTTTTAAATTGTTATCGCCTGTTTTTTTTTAAATTGTTTTTGCCTGTTTTAAACTGTTATCGCCTTTTTTTTTTTAAATTGTTAATCACCTGTTTTTTTAAAATTGTTAATCGCCTATTTTTTTTTTAAATTTTTAATCGCCTATTTTTTTGAATTAATTAAATAAAACTTTTTAGGTAACGTTTTTAACAATTTTGAACCGGTAACTTCAAATTTCCAACCAGTTAAGAATATGAAATGGAATGCACCAAATTGTTATAAAATGTCTCCATCAAATTCTCCTCGATTTCGTAAGCAGTTTAAACGGATGATAGTAAATGAAGAAATAACGCCCAAAGATACTGATACTCATGCTGCATTTATGGGTGTAGAAAATGGTTGGAGTCTCTCTGCAGATTCTGGTTTTGCAAGTACTGATGTAGATCATAACATGAAGCTCGCACTAAGAAAAAACTCATTACCAGAAAGAAAAAATAATAAAACTATTGAAAATCCTCAGCGTTCTGTAGATTGTCCTGATACCGCTAAGAATCTTGAGTTTGGAAACAGATTATCTCCGGAATTCGCAAACTTATCTCCAGAGAGATTAGAAAACTCTTTAACTAAAGATTCTTGTCAATATAAATTGAATAAAAGTGATAAAGTTGACCAAGTCTCATTTGGAGTGAATAAAGATAGAGTTACATATAAATCTAGTTTAAGACCTATTTCGTTATCAGAAGTTCCTTTACCTCCTGCATACATGCTAGATCAATCTGACATTTGGCCTGTGGATCCACCATCTGAATTTATAGACGACATTGACATGAGTTATTCATCTTCTCCGTCGATAGGAGTAGATAGAAAAATGGTGTTGAAATATGCTGCTAAATATCAAAGTATGTCAACCCATATTTCATCTTCAACCGATACTGAAGATCACATAATAATGTGTGAAAAAAATAACGAGCATTTATGTTAATAAAAAAATCGTTTTAAAAAATTGATTGTTACTATATAGTTTTTTTGCGTTAATGTTAAAATGTAAATATTTATTTTTTCATCTATTTCAATTTTTTGTTTGAATTTTTTTAAAAATATATGTATATAATATATTAAATTTCGAGTTTTACGCACGTAATGTATCTAACCATTTGTTTGCGCGCGTGTGCCAGGGTATTTACATGAAGAAAAATATAATGCACAACTTTATATGTGTCAAAGTTTGTAAAAGTTTTCATCATTCAGAACGTTTGTTATTTACATTCACTTCAATCATAACCTGTGTAATAGGGTACAGTGAATTTCATATGTTTTTAAAAAAAAAAAATATTAAAGCTTAGAAAAAGGTGTATTCTTATTTAAAATTAAATTTTAAGGTAGGTTTGCTATGGACAACTTTTTGATTAAAAAACGTTTTGATACCCAAATTTTTATATTTAGACATTATTAAAAAGAAATATACTTAAATTATTATAAAGTAAATTTAATCCGGTTTTATGTTTAGTTTCTCATAATAAGCGCAGTGCAAAAAACCGTAAAAAACAACAAAAAAAGATCGTATTCTGTAAATATTTTATTCGTTATATCATGAAATTATTCATAAATGTCGAAAGTTAAAACTAGATATTCATCCACCACAAGAATTTCTGAGTTTATTGGACCTGGAAAATATTTTATTCCTAGTGAGCTGCCTACAAACAAAGCAGTTATTCAAAAAGGAATTTTATTAAAAGAACAAAAAAAATAAATATTCTAAAAAAGATCTTGCTAGCGATCTAATTCCACTTGTTCTTGCTCAATGGAAAAAAGCAAATATTTTATTTCAACAACCAGTTATTATTGGAAAGAAATTGCTTTATTATAGAATAAAAACACTTTGGGAGAAAGTAGAAAACGTTGCATAGGGAAGAACTAAGGTAAAAGTAAAAGAAGAACTTATATTGAAGTTAGATAAACTAATGTACCTCATAACATGTCCTCAAACAATACTTCTATGCGAGCATAATCTATCTGGGTGTTCTTCCCCCAAAAATTGTAAAAAAAAGCACATATAAATTGCAGCTGTATTTATTCTAAAAAAATTCCGACTATGGAGCTCAGGTGGTTAAACAGTCAAAGAAATAAGACAGGTGAAAAGTCTGACATGCAGATGGGACATGCTGATAAGATTGAGACAATGAAACTAAGAAAAAAAGTATACGAGAAAAGTCAGCGATGAAGAAGCTTACGAGAAAAGAATTAAAAAAATAGAGGAGGAACAAGCATTCTTCGAGGTAAATATAATTTCTTAATAATAAATATTTTCTTTTTTCATATAATAATAATAATAATAATAACAATAATATATATATATATATATATATATATATATATATATTATATATATATATATATATATATATATATATATATATATATATATGTATATATATATATATATATATATATATATATATATATATATATATATATATATATATATGTATATGTATATATATATATATATATATATATATGTATATATATTTATATATACATATATATATATATATATATATATATATATGTATATATATATATATATATGTATAAATATATATATATATATATACATATATATATATATATATATATATATATATATATACATATATATATATATATATATATATATATATATATATATATATATATATATATATATATATATATATATATATATATATATATATATATATATATATATATAATATATATACATATATATATATATATATATATATATATAAATATATATACATATATATATATATATATATATATATATATATATATATATATATACATATATATACATATATATATATATATACATATATATATATAATATATATATATATATATATATATATATATATATATATATATATATATATATATATATATATATATATATATATATATATATATATATATATATATGTATGTATTTTGGTTTTAATTTGGTTTTAGGTCACAGAAGAAGAAGATATAGAATTAGATAAAGAACATCAAAAAATTATTTTTCCTGGCTTTCTCGATGAAAACTATAATCCAGATAATGTTAACTTAACTTTAAAACAAGACAATGAAATTAAGATGTTGGTTGAAAGGCTGCTAAGGAAAAGTTAGGTGTTTATGCTTTCCTTGTAACACGGTTTTTAGAAAAGAAGTCAAGATATAACACAATGTCAATAAAAAACACAGCTATGGCTAGTATAAGGTAATTATATTGACTATTGTTTTGATGAGCAGCAACATGAGTTAATAGAAATAAATATAAACCATTCTTATTTTATAGGTTTAGGATTTCACCTGCCGCAACTGCAGCAATTGCTACAAGTTATCTTCAAGATTTAATTGAAGCAGGATTTCTCACCCCTGAGTCCTCTTACCTTGCTTGTGATCCTTCTAAGTTGACGAGAGAAAAAAGGTCATGGTAGTTGCGAAGAAAAATGATAATTTAAAACTTCCGAAAGCAGATAATATTGCCATTTACGGAATTTACTTCCATTGACGGAATTTACTTCCATTGACGGAATTTACTTCCATTGACGGAAGGAAAGATTCAACAAAAGCAATGATAAATGATTCAAATGGACAGCTACATCCTATTATTATCAAAGAGCAGCACATTACTGTGACTAAAGAACCTGGTGGTTGATATCTTGGCCATTTTACCCCAAATGCACCTAATCATCTAGATAAGCCAGCTAAATAGATTGCTGAAGGTGTTTATATTTTTTTGCAACAACATAATCTTACTGAATCGTGTTTAGTACTTGGAGCTGACAGTACTTCAATTAACACAGGCTGGAAAGGTGGTGTTATATCGCATCTTGTGACCTAACACTTGTGACCTAACACTTGTGACCTAACAGTTTTATTTAACTTGATTATGGTTTATTGCCACCTAATCTTAGAGAAATTCAATGCGGCCCCTTAAGTCATGCCAGATGGCTCACTACTTGCATGAGAATTGTCTTTATGTGGACAAGGAAACACGACTTAAATGATCAAAATTCCCAAAATCTAGAGTAACTTGTAGTATTTTGTTTACAATTTTACTTTAAACTTTTTTTTGACATAATGGTCAAAGACAGACTTGAAGATGCTTCCTACACATTCAGTCTCAATTGAGAATTTTTAGAATGCAACCTGATAGAGTAAAAATAATTGTGACTTCCTACACCCAGGTAGGAGCTTGGTATGCGAACCATGAAAGTATACTAATCTCTTTATTATCTAGTTATAATGCAGAAGATTACGATTTTGCAGTTGATCGAATTTTGAAACTAAGGGGTAATGATATCCTTGGAGATATGCAAATCAGACCAAGAAAAACACCTAAACTTAACTTTGCAGCAACTACTCTTCAAGAGCTAGTTAAATGGGAAAATGGTGTTGTACAAGAACCTGTTTTTACTTGTTCGCTCACCAGAGATAATTTGTTATTACTAAGATTGATACCTTTAATAACTCCTTCGATTAAAATTCATACTCAAAGTGCTGAGCGTGCTGTAAAACAAGTGACAGTAGCATCCATGTCAGTAGTTGGACCATATGCAAGAGATGGGTATATTAGAGATAGAGCTAAGCATAGAGAGTTGCTACCTGTTTTTAAAACAAAGAAAGAAATTTTATTAAGTTTTTAACTTCAATAGATTTTTTTTTTTTTTTTTTTTTTATGTTTTAGTAGTTCTATCAAAATATTGTTGGGGTAAGATAAAGGGATAAACCACCTGTTTTTTTGGTGAAAGTATTATGAACTGTTATGATCAAATTTTTTATTCATTAGAGCCTCATAAAAAATTAAAGACCCCCTCCTCCTCCCTCTAAAAAAATGCAGAATCTGCACTGCAGATAAGATCCATGCAAGATAATGATTTTGAAAAGTATCAAAAAAACTTTCAATTATCTGAAAAAAAATATTTGCATTTAATATTTTATCGCAATGAAAAAGAAAATGTAAAATACAATGAATGTCATAAATGTGCAGATGTACTCTTTCTTAGTTCAGCTGACAATCTATCAGCTTTTATGTCACTAATTTAAAAACTTTTCTGAAATTTATTGATATATATCTCAAAAGAGATGGACTGGCCATCATTCTCATCAATAAAATTAAAAACACAATCAGCATGAAGAACATGCATTTTATTTGGAAAAAAACATTGTTCTGTTTTTTGTTATTACAAGAATTTTTTATTTCATAAAATTTTTAAACTTAGACATAAATCCACGCAATAAGTCAAATGCGAGAAAAATTGCATGTATTCTTCATAATTAATATATTATGATACTATTTTTTCAATATTTTTTTTTGTAATAAGATGTGCTAATAACTTTAAAAAAATTGCTATGTTATTTGTTATTAAAAGAATTTTTTATTTCATAAATTTTTTATTTCATAAAATCAACCCAATAAGTGAAATTGCAATTTCAAAAAATATTGTACGTATTGCCCTTTGGTATATTATGATATTATTTTTTGTAATGAGATTTTGCAATGTTATAATGTATTATATTAATAACTTTAGTTAATGTATAATGTTAATAACTTTTATGTATAATAGTATACTTTTATGTTCTAAAAAAATTACACTAACTTTATATTCTACAAAACTTTTTTTGTTCTACAAAACGTTTTTTCCCCATTTCATTCCTATTGAAACATTCTAATGGTAATCTTAACAAAATTGATGTATCTTAATGTTACAAAATTGAGATATCTTGAATACAAAATTGAAATATTTAGCAACAAAGGTTATTAATTTAAAGAAGAGGAAGAAGTCCGGCAGGACATTCCAGAATGCAATTTGGATCAATTAACAGGGGTTTAGCGAAGTGGATAGGCTTCGTTCGAAATATTTATCTTACTAAAATATTTTATGATAATTTACAGAACGGACCTGAGGCAATAAACCCGTGTATTGAAGTAAATCAAAGTAAAAAAAAAACTTAAAAATTTAATTTGATTTTGCTTTTATCTCTTTGCAAAAGAGATAATTTAACCAAAAATAAACTACTTTTATTTTATATATATACAATTTATGGTCCGCGCCTTTGGCGTGCAAAAAACTTTTCTTTGTTATAAAAATTATTTGAGTAAAATAATTTTGCAGTAAACCTTTTTGGGGTTTTTGCTTTGTATACAGATTACATGCTTATACTATCCTTCAATATATAACAACTCTGCTTACACTTTCGTTTTTGTTTTTATAAATTTATTTTGTATATAAAATAGTATTTAATATTACAAAGTATTTACAAAAAACGCATTTTATTTTTTACAAAGAAAATATAGGCAACTTAGTTATCGATTATTGTAATAGTTCTTTATGAAGTATGTTACAGGTTTGCTTTTGGTTATCTGGTAAATAAAATTTTATGTCATTTATGTATCACTCTGGTGATGAAGCGACGTAAAATTGCCCATGTCCGAAGACTGCTTATGGTAGATATAATCTGACTTTCTTAATCGTTTGCCCCTGACTTTTGTTGACCGTCATCGCGAATAATTTTTTTGAAAAACAGCTGCGGATTTAAACGCATACATGTATATACTTTTTTTTTTTTTTTTAATTTATAAATGGCGGAAAATAATATTTTGAATGTTTTTGATATATTTACTAGAGAAAACACTATACTTTTGACAAATGACTTTGTCCCTGACGTGAATTATTTTAATAACTTTTTAATAGATACTGTTTATTTCAATATAAGTGATTTTTAAATTCTTCATGATCAAATTTTTCATTAATAAATTTGAACATCAGGAGTATGAGTAAAAATTTTGAATCCCTAAAAATGACTTTAAAAAATTTAAACTACAATTTTGGTGTAATCTGTCTAACGGAAACTTGGTGTCAAAATGGCGATGAAATAAATTCTAATTTTTTTCTATCAGGTTATAATTCAATACACCCAGGAAAAACGGCATTAGCGGGGGCGTATGTATTTTTATTCTTAATTCTTTTACTTTTAGAAAATTACTTAGCCACAGTGTCAATGACGCTAATTGTTAGTCGTTATCAATTGAAATCCTTAACCGGAAAACCAAAAATATTTTTATAACTTCTCTTTACAGATCGCCTGATCGTAATTTTGAAGCATTTAAAAAATATATTACCAAAAGTCATTAAAAAACACATTTATATAACTGGTGATTTTAACATAGATATTCAAAAAATAAATAATGATTCCTACGCTAAACGGTTTGTAAATACTCTTTTTAGAACAGTTTAATACCTGTAATCAACAAACCAACGCGCGTAACACGCAATACTTCTTCAATTATTGATAACATTTTTACTAATGTTGCCATGACTTGCCGAATCAAAAGTGGAATTAAAAACTGATATTAGCGATCATTTTCCGAATTTTCATATAAATTACTCTTTAATTTCTGAATCTAAAAATTCCTTTGAAACATATGTAAGACAAATAAACATTGTTTATTAAACAACCAATCTATTATAAAATTTAGAGAACTATTAACAGAAATTGATTGAAATCTTTTAACTGAGTGCAATGATGCATACAATCTGTTTTTACGTTTGTTTTCTAAACAATACGAAAGATCCTTTCCGAAAATTAAAAAAACAACTAATTCCATAAAAATAAATAATCAATAAATAATAATAAGGAATAAAAAAATGCCATAAAAAATAAATAATAAGGAGTTTCATCACTTAAAATTTTAGGAATAATATTTGATGAACATCTTAATTGGAAAAATCATATTACGCTAATTGAGAACAAAAATTCTAAAACTATAGGCATCATGTATAAAACAAAACACCTACTTTGTAAAAAATGTTTAATAGATTTATATTATTGTTTTATACATAGCTGTATTAGCTATTGTAATATTGCTTGGGAAAGTACTTACCCTTCAGCATTGAAAAATATATATATTAAAAAAAACAAGCCAGTAGAGTTATATTTCATGTGCATAAATACGCCCACTCCAAGCCGTTACTCCAGGAAATTAAAGCTCTTAATGTCTATGACTTAAACGTGTTCTAAAACTTGTTATTCAAGTTTTAAATATCAAAACGACATGCTTCCAAAATCTTAAATACCTAACAAGATGCTCTACCTATAATTTTAATTTACCTAAGTCAACTCTTAAAACATCTGACTACTTAAATTCATATAGAGGCCTTCGCCTGTGGAACATATTTCTTAATGAAAATATGAAAAGTATAACTTTAATAAGTTGTTTTAAAAATATAGTTTAACAGTATTTACTTGAATTAACAGACGCAAACATATTTTTGCATTTTTAAGTAAAAAAAAAAAAAAAAAATCTTGTAATATTTCTTAATATATATGATTATTTATCTTTTGCAATTTATCGTATTCTTGTTGTAATATGTGTTAACTTGTTTTTTTATATAACGAGTATTTGTAAATTTATATAATGAGAAATTTGTTAAAAGTACTTTACGCTTACTATAGGGGCTTGATGACAAGACTTCTGTCTTCTACTTGCTCCTGTCGTTATTAATTTTTTAATTTAAATTTTATTGATGAAAATTGTTAAACAAAAACGTTATAAAATGTTTATAAAAGACAAATTATATAGTGTCAAAAAAAATAATAATAATAATAATAATAGTAATAATAGTCGAATCGGAAAATGTTGACGCAGACAAAACGGTAGTCTGGTCGTTCGGGCATATCGTAATTCGTGGGACTAAAATGAATCTGCCTTTGTAGCTGCTAATCGTGATTCTGCAGCCAATTAGATGTTTCTCGAGCCGTTCGATTGTTAGTCTCGTTCCATTGCATAGACCGTTTTTGACGTCGAGATTTCACAATAACATTACAATTGTGCTAAATTTTTTATTTTAATTCATGCGGCGGATATCCAGGCGGAGTAATGCTGTTGAGGAATTCTAGTTGAAAATACGTTCTGTCGACATTTTTCTCACATTCAGCTTCGTCAATACTTTTGTAATTTTTTTTCACTCCAGGTAGTAGCCGTAAAATCTCGTTGTTTATCGCTAGAGAACCAACGTTTTTTCGAGTTAGAATGGCTTTTTCTGAAAATATATTTATCTCATTAGATAATATTCCTTCTCCAAAGACGTAGTAAATGAAATTTTGGCTAAGGCACTCATGTGGTAATTCTATTTTTCCCTCATCGTTTCGTTCTATTTTTCCATTGACAATATGTAGTAGGAATTCAACCTATCCAGATGCGTTATAATGCGCTTCCACGTTTTGTGTTAATGTGATGGTTTTAATCGCTTGATTGACGCCTTTATAATTGAGTCCTTGGATGTTTTTGGAACTACAGGAGGCACTTGTCAAAAGTTGCCACCAAGAACGACAACTTTGCCCCGTAATGGTATTTCAGTTTTCATAATGTCGCGTAAAAAAGTATCTATTGCCTCTAGTCTAAGTCGAGGCACCATTTACATATTATCCCAGATAATTGCATTGGTTTGCCGGAGAGAATTAACTCGTTTACTTTGGCTTTTAAGCAGCGATGTACAATTAGCTGCCGTTAGAGGCACTAGCAAGTTGAATGCAGAATGCACTGTTTGTCATAGTGGCAGCAAAGTAGCAGCAATACTTTTGACTTGTCCAGCAAAAATGCGGGTAATGTTTGTGTATAGGTATGATTTGCCCGAACAGCTTGACCATTTGATGCATGGCAGAGCTGCATCTGCTGCTGCTTTTTGCTGTTTATTCAGAGTCGAATACAGTTTGGCAGCTTTTTGCTTAAACTTTGCGATGTTTATTGCGGTTTCGTCAGGCATTGGCAAAGGATATTTCAGCGCTCATATAATGGTGGTAACATCTTGTCTACAATTGGAGACGATTTGTCTAATATCAGCATATGCGTATCCTTCGCTTTCTTGTTCTGACATCGTTCGGTGTGTGTAATCGTCTGACAGGGGAGTCTTAAATTCTTCCCAAAGCGCTGAACTTCACTTTTAGATTTTAGTTATTTTTACCTTCTTTTTATTTTGAATTAAATTTTGGAAGTTTAACATCTGAAAACGGCATAGGTCAAGGACTTTGATAATGTCTAGAGTTGTTTTATTATAAAGAAGACGAAGGAACAAGTTTAATTTATTTTGTTGAATACTTTTTGAAATTTCCTGGATTTTAAGTAGCAAGTTTGTATAATTCTGAATGTGTTTCGAAACATTTAAAAGCAATTTTAACGCACTTTTTTCAATTACATCTAGCTTTTTGCATTAAAGCAGAACTATTTTCATTTAGCTTCATACCATAAGTTAAGGTAGGGACTGTCAATAATTTATATATATAGGAAATAGAACTTGGGTGGGTAAACCGGATTCCAG